TTCAAATGACGAAATATTTTCACAATCAACTATTCACTATCTAAATAATCAATTCTGAAAATATTGTGCAAAGGCTTATAAGCACTTTAAGGATGGTCTTGTGGAAACCAGGTTCGTAAGTTGATTATATTATGTGTGTGGGCTATTTGAGTATCAATTTCACACCACAATAGAATGGATGTTATATTATCTCTATATAACCTTTCTTATAAGATGCCGTCACTTCGTACCGGATAATCTGCTGGAAGAGGGTTACGAGCCAGTTAAGGTGCAAGGCGATGGCAACTGCTTCTTTCGTGCGATTTCCACCTTGTGCTCCAAGCACAAAGAAGCAGATTGGCGTGCAATCAAGCTCGGCGCCATCATCGATGCCTGTACAAATGAAGAATTATACAATAAACTTACGACTTTTCATATACGAAAAATGGCTGCCAAGCGGTAAAAGGCGCGCAAAGCACCACGGTCTAAGCTCGTCCTTCAAACGCTTTTCTTTTATTTGTTTATCAGATCCAATAACACTGCTTTCATAGTCATTAACATATTGGAAATATAAACCTTCGTATCTCAAAGACCCGACATTCAAATGACGAAATATTTTCACAATCAACTATTCACTATCTAAAGAATCAATTCTGAAAATATTGTGCAAAGGCTTATAAGCACTTTAACTTTTGAGTGAATCTTCAAGGCGTGATAAGGCACCATCTCATGAGAAAGGATTTTAGAGCATTCTAAAAAGGAATTCCAGTTCTTAAGGGAGTGAAGGAACTTCAGGAAGTGCAAGGAGGCAATGTACGGAGAAACCAAAGGGGAAAGCATATGCGAAAGATCAACATCCATGTTATGTAGAAAGAGAATAAGCCTGAAGCGAGATGACGTTTTACCCCCGACTCTATACCATAATAGTTTTTTAAATTCTTTCATATTATAATTTTTGATTCCTTAGAGAATACAGGAACAAAAGTCATCATTAAAGAACAAAAGCAATGTGAAAAGGATTATGGTCTAGAGACGGGGGTAAAACGTCATCTCGCTACAGGCTTATTAGACACTGCTTACCGGATCACATTTGAGTACAAAAAAGAAGAGGTGCAAAATGATTTGGAACGGAGGAGTTCCTGGATAAACTGCACCACAGTATATTCACAGGTGTGTGGTTGTTCTCATCGGGTATTATAGGATTGACAACGCTATTATAAATGTCATATCCCCGTCCTTTGCAGTGCATTTGAACGGGGACACCAAGATAATTCGCTGCCATCTGGACTTGTAGCAAACCTGTAAAATAATTTGGCATTAAACGCTGACAGAAGAACACAAATGTGCGAGATAAAGATAATTGGTATTCGTAGCTCACCGGAGTATCTGCCGTCGGTGGAAGTTGCCATCACTTCTTTTTGGAAGGCTTGCCTTACCCATTCCTCACCGGTAACATGTCTGGGAAGCTGAGATGTAACTTCTTCAGTAGTCATAGCATATATGAATGATATCGGATCATCAAAGCTCATTATCTTTTGGAGAAAAATGAAACATGAGTACGATATTAACGATTGAAAATAATAATGAAATGGATTATACCTGTTGGACGTATAATTCTTCATTTGCACAGGCATCGATGATGGCGCCGAGCTTGATTGCACGCCAATCTGCTTCTTTGTGCTTGGAGCACAAGGTGGAAATCGCACGAAAGAAGCAGTTGCCATCGCCTTGCACCTTAACTGGCTCGTATCCTTCTTGCAGCATGTTATCCGGTACCCAGTGACGGCATCTTATAAGAAAGGTTATATAGAGATAATATAAACATCCATTCTATTGTTGTTTGAAATTGATACTCAAATGGCGTACACACATAATACAATCAACTTACGAACCTGGTTTCCACAAGATCATCATTAACTTTTGAATGAATCTCGAAGGCTCGATAAGGCACCATCTCATTAGAAAGGATTGTACTGCATTCTGACACAGAATTCCAATCCTTGAGAGAGTGAAGAAATTTTAGAACCCTATCACATCCCTCTTCGCGCAATGATTCGACCTTAAAAGGACAATAAAAACAACAACACCATGAACAACAACAACAGAAAAAAAAAAACTAACCAAGACAGTTAGATATCAAGACTTGGATTAAGCCGTTCAGCTATATCAACTTTTAAAAAGTAACATCGCGTATTGTCGCAATCTGATTGGAGAGACATAGAGGATGGCGAATCGCTCGGGTACGAAGCCAGCGCGCGCTTGACTGTCCCGTTATTGAACATAGATGACGTCTTGAAATGTTCAAAACTTTACAGTACGTGAAGCCGCTGGCTGCGCTCGTGGTTCCACTTGAGGTTTGAACATTTTAAGAAGTCATATGATCAGGACAATCAATAGCCATCTATGAGCGATTTATTAAAATGATTGATTGTTTGTGCATTAGCATAAATAGAAAAACTTACTTGTTCTAATATAGTTTGGAGTTTTTTTATGTGTTCCTTATCCAACAAAGATGAGGGATCAGGATCCGTTGGAGACTGAGGAGATTGAGGAATCGGGTCAGAGTCAGCAGCTGATTCCTGTGCTGGAAGACCTGCAGGCAGCAAATATACAATAAAAACCAATGATATGGTCAGAATCTATTCCAAACAAATGTCGAACAAACCGAAACTGGAAAAAATTATTATTGATATTCGCCTCATTCTGCTTAATGTTAGCCAAGAAGTAATATATTATTGAGACTTTAAACTTCTTATTTCGGTAGTACAAATTCGGGTTATGTAAGCGCATGCCAAAGATTTTGGAAATCCATGGGTAAGACAACAATTGTGATGAATTCCACAGTTATAGTGTGGGACACAGATATAAGAAACGACGACGAAAAGCAGCGTCTCGTTATGATTATTATAGCATGTATTTATCCTTAAACATACCGTCAGCGTGGAATTCGTAGTAACAGCTATCATATGCTGAGAGAATGGTATTGAGTTCAGATGACCTCATCCTKGGTTTGGCGTTGTTCGGATCCCGGAATCTTATCTCTTGTGGCCACCAACAAGGTACGCTAGCCTTTGTACTCCACTGAGCACGTTTTTTATCTATGATTGGGATAATTAAATTAAATCATAACCAAGATATAGAAATACAAGGGTACCATGGCTATATCTTGGTTATGGCCATGGAGACACCGAGAAGTGAAGCCATATAATAATGGTTCCCTTGTATCTCTATCTTGGTCAAATTTGTTTGAGATGGTGAGAAGTGAGAACAGCTAAATGTTAATCTGAATACCCTGAAACTCAAAACGTAAAGATTATTTTACATGTACTTTTCTATAGTCCAGCCGTTTAAATCATAAAATCTTTAAAGAAGTTACCAAAGCCCCAAATTTGGTACAGTTTCTTTTCGGTGTAACGTTTCTTTAACGATTTGAGAGTGGAAATAAACAAGTCATGACGTCATTATAAAATAGGGCAATTATAAGTCTGCAGCAATAAATCTACTAAAAGACACTTACGATTTTGCGTGACCAGTGCAGTTAGTAGTTGCCGTTTGCCATGAATATTTAACCCCTTCCAATCAGCCTCGAGTTCGAATGGAAACTCGGCTACCTCTCCATCT